TTCTCTTCCTCTCTCTCTCTAAGATTAGTAGAGAGAGAGAGAGAGGGGTAGGCAGTCGTGGATATGAGTTGCGTGGGTTGTCCGTCGTTTCCTGATTTCTTATTTCCGGTTCATACTTATCCCGGAATCCATTAGCTGTCTCTCTCTCTCTCTCCATCCATGGATGAGAGAGAAAGTAAAGTTGGAGTGGAGAAAAAATTATAAGAGGCAGGCACTGGCCTTGCCCAAGGCATTCAAAGTGGAGAATAACTTTGGAAAAACCTTTTAGATGGCTTTCAAAAATTAGCATGGAATATGAAAAATGTTCTATGCAGCTTCATTAAAGACTTGTTTGAGACCTTGAATAAAACTTATTTACCATTTGGACTATGTCAGTGTTTAAGTCAAAAAGTTTACCATAAAAAAAGCACAGCCATGTCTCAAATCGATTCCACAGCTCTACAATGGTTTGATATCCGCCACGAATTATGAAATGCAATGTATTTAGAGAACCTGTAGACACTTAGAAAATAGAATGTCCGAATAATGTGATTTAACATATATCAATTTTTAATGTTTAAAATCCATTTTTTTTTCCCAAAACATAATGACCGAGGTTGAGATAGTCTATTCGAGTGCTTCCCATATGCCAAAACTACAGCATCGTGGCCTTGTTGTGCGGTTTCATTTTTATCGTGAAGCATGGGCCCTATGATTTTCATTTTATAACAAAATAAAATAATATTATTTACCGTTACCTTGGTCATAATCAATGTGGACATTAGATGTGAAATCAGACATCTAAGGATGCACGATGATTGCAAAGTCTCGTAATATTCTTTTTATCTCGACTGGAGAGATGGCACAACAATTTAAGTTTATGCGGTTGTGGTGCTTGTGAAATTTATATAAGAATAAATACCTAAAAAGACTTATTTTTTAATTTGAATAACTGACTTTGGTTCATGAAAATGGCCGACCCGATTTTCTTTTTTTTCTTGGTTTTTTATCCCCGTAATGAGATGAACATCAGTGCAAAATTTAAAGCCCCACATACCTCAAAATCTTCTACAACATTCGGAAGGAGTTGCATACTATGAAACATTTATTATTATCATTATGATGAGGATGTCACAATCACTCATAGCCATTAGATATAAAAAAAATTGAGTGATTAACAACACTTATACCTACCCAATTTAAATGAAAGACACCAATGATACCTCCTACTAAAATTAGATTTGTCTCTTTGTTAACATTTCCTTGTGCGTATAGTAATTGGGTTTTTCTTTTTCCGTAAAGATTTCACTTCTTTGCCTCAACTGCCATGGGAATGGGACAAAGAAAGTTGTGTTTGTGTATAAAAAATTGTTTCAGGCGGGGCTAGACCGCATTTCTACAATATGCGATCCAAATGTACAAATCATCCATCTTTACATCCATCTTAAAGATGGATGCAAATAGGTGGTCCACCTAAAAACAAGTGTAACTTACGGTCCAAATATTTCTTAATATAATTATTATTTTAAGTTTTCAATTTAATTTTATTTTTTCATATTCATGATCTCCATGTTAAATATTATATATTATTTAAAAATTAAGATCAAATTATATTTAAAAAATATAAATTTTTGCCAAGCCCTCATTTTTGCAATATGCAAGATTATAGGAAAAAAAACTTATCAATCTATGAGCTGATGAAATAATATAAACCCAATATCCCAGATTGAATGTAGAACAATCTAATGATTAACAATTGATTTTCGTACCTGAATTTTAATATTTTTTTCTACAAATCCAAATCACATAAGATTTGAAATGTCCACTCTTTCTCATTTATCTTTTGCAAATTTTTCTTTTAATATTTTTATTAAATACACTTATTTTTCAAAAGTAAATACTTTAAATTTCAAACGATTTGAATTTGTAAACAAAATTCAAATACGAAATACAATTGCAACTATTGGATTGGCCAAATTCAATTTAGACCATTAGACATTTACTGTAGCCGTTAGCTAGCCAAACAACAAATGCATCTATTAAGCATGTACTGCAGCTGTCAGCTACCCAAACAGCAAATGCATCTATAAGCCCCTTTAGTGAGGCACTCAAACAAAGCCTCATAAAAGTAAAAAGCGATATTTACAAAATATTATATGCAATTCCCGATGGGAGTGGGATTTCTATACAAAATTACATGATTAAACAAATGATAGAAGGCACAAAGTCATTTAAGCCATTCGATCTTGCGGATAATGTATTGCCTAGCTCCATCCTGATAAGCCAGCAAGTCTATCGTGTGTGCCATCCATGGGACACCAGAGTCCCCATCTCCTGAACCGGGACTTCCAATTGTACCAAGCAACATTTTCATAAATCTATCGAGCATAAAAGGTCTCACAGCTTCTGCAAGTTCCTTAAAACTTTTATCCTGGAGAAAAAAGAGAGAACTTTGATAAGCAAAACACATCGAGTTCTGCATTCTCGTTTATATCAAACACATTTTCGAAGCTTTATTGGTCAGTAATCTCCTCTACTTCCAACAAAAAATTGCAATGGTTTGACATAAAAGTACTTCTTTAATAAGGTACTTAAGAGGTGGAAACTAGAACAGAGAAAAAATTATTCCAAAAATCTTTATTTCAATCCTGCTTCTATCATTGTAAATTGAGACGACAGCGACTCCTTTCTAGGTTATTTGAAATTGAAATGAAGGCAAATATCTTAAGAATTAGAAAGTTTTATGAGAGATATATCTAAACAGTTCATTATGTGATGAAGTTGCCAGCACTTTTCAAGCACAATAGTGCCTATGAAAAGATCTCCTGAAGCTACTGAAAGCTACCATATTCTTCGTGAGAAAACTATAGCAGTACTCCAATGGACAATATCTTTCAGCCATGATACATGCATCTTGTAACAATGGACAATATCTTTCAGCCATGATACATGCATCTTGTAACAATCTAATACTCAAATAGATGGATTAAATGGTCATTTACGCTGCAAGAAATTCTAAACAAATTTCACAATACTTAGTTCGAGTATAATCTCGTTTTCTCCAGACAAACTGGCCTGCCATTTGCCAAAATAATCTTAAAATTTCCAGCTTATATGCTTATCCAACATAAACCTAGTATTCTTCCTAATAAAATTGACTACCAATCAACACAAAGTTCTAGTCTTAGACATCATGAAAGGCAATGGTTACATGCAACTATGTTTTCTCTCTCTACCCATGGACATGGATTTTGAAAAACCAATAAATTTTTTTTTTGAAAAGGTTAACATTGTATAAATAATGGGCAGTGATTTCATGCAACAGTTGTATCATAGTATAATGCAACAACACTTCTAGAAAACCATGTTTGTGGTATTTGTATGACCAAAAATTTTGCACACACACTCTCCATCTCAATAATCAATCCCAAAAAAAAAAAAGTTCAATTTGAATCCTAGATATAGTCAAAATGAATACCCTCCAAACACGAATGTAGACCATTCATTTGGTGAATTTCAAGATCTTCACCTTTATAAACTCAAAATCATTTTTTTC